TCAGTTCCGATTGCGGTCGATCCATTTTCTTCTCATCTTATCGCAACCGTAGACGCCTTACCGCCGCAGGGCTATGTGCTCCTAATCGCGAAATCGCCGTTCTCATCTGGTATCCCCTCACCACATCATATCCCACTGACCCTATTCAACCGGCACCCACTCCCGCACGTGGTATGCAGCCGCCATGCAACATAGGGACACTACGCCGCCACTGTTCTTAACACACCGCCTTGCTCGTGCTCACGTCCAGCGAGCAGCTCCTGCAGTAGCACAGAGTAATACAGTGTTGGCTTAGATAGCGGGAGCGATTCACAATCCAAACAACTTCTTAGTTCGTTGCTGTAACATGGATTAGCTTGCAGTTTTGCTAGCGGTTCTTTCCTTCTCTCTTGCCGCCTGCTCCTATTCAAGCGTACGCTACGCATCCCCTTACTGTACCCAGTTTGCCCGATTCAATCCATATGCCTCCTTCCCCTGCATGGGCTCAGATCCGACTGAGTACGCGCAAGGGAGTGAGGATGGGAGAAGGGGTCACTCGATACTAACTCCCACCTTCCTCATCTCAACCCCATTTCGTACTCGCCACTCCATCCCCCCCCACCACCTTGCTCCTTGCACGCACTTACGTCCAACTGCCACGCGAGCAACCCGTGCAATGGCTCGGAGTGTAGTGGTTTTCTTATGTCGTGGAGAGTGTTATCACATCCAAAACAACTTCTTAGTTCGTTACGGTAACATAGAATGGCTTGCAGTTTTGTTAGCGGTTGTTTCCTCATCCTTTGCGCGGTTTTCTACTGAAACGCGCGCTACGCACCCCTCACTGTACCCCCCTCCCGCGACCCTCCCCTCTGCCTCCCTCCCATACACTTGCTCAGCTCCGGCTGAGCACGTGCAGGAGAGGGAGGCAGGGCGACCCGGTACCCCACCCTGCCCCCGCACGAGCACACGTCCAGCTGCCACGCCAGCAGCTCGTGCAATGGCTCGGAGTGTACCGAATGGTTGTCTTATATAGCGGAGGCTGTTATCACAATCAAATCATTGGACTGCTACATCCTCCCAGTCGGTTACCGGTTTGCCTAGCGGTCGTTTTCGCCTCCAGCGAACTCGAACCCGTGAAGTATTTTGCGGACGGACAGACAAACATACATACATACATACATACCTACAAACCTACATACATACAAACATACAAACCGACACACAAAGTTACTGGTTTATAGAATGAAAGGATTCGTCAGAAGAAGAGCTGAGATATAGATGAAGGTTCTACTTTCGCCTAAGATTGTGGTGCTATTCACGGTGAGAATCCGGCGCAGCGGTGTCGTGGGCATCCCTAAAATCAATAACTTCCTCATTTAATTGAAATTTTTATGAATCAGTTGGGCGAAAGGCTAACGGCTCGCCGCTCATTGATTAGTCCGTATCGCACTCGGCTATTATCACCTCATCTGTCAACCCTTTGCTGTTATTATCAGTGATTACAGGGAGGGGTCAGATGAACGGAAACCCGTACTTTATTCGATAAGTAGGGTACAAAGTGTCAATTTTCGTTCTAATCGTCGGAATAAGCCGAGCTAGCGTGCGCTCCTACTGCAGTAAGTGCTTGCAGACTAACAAGACCAAGCGAGCATGCACTTCTCAGAGCGATTCGCTTATTAATTGTTACTCAGTTCCACTGGACAATTCCTAATGGTCACCATAAGTCAAGGCTCTAGAAGTTTCACGTCTGTCCTAGCCAACTAGCAGAATGCTCCCGCCCCAGCAGCGCCCCGTGCCCCCCCCCCCGTACTGGGCGTTATAATAACAACAGTTAAGTGGTCAGGCTCCTACAGTTTAACCGACCACTCTTGGATACGCCATGCGTTTGTTTTCCATTCACAGTCGCAAGGCTATTCAAATAAGTCTGCGATGTTCCTATCACCTTTTTTTATTTTTTGATCTGATAACTCTTCTCAATCTTTCCAATTAGAATTCCGGAAAAGAGCCCAAACGCGATACCTTTTGTCATCATTTCACACCGCTCCATTGCATTGCTTCTTGCCAGTCTTAACCATGCTTATGCTATCGAATGACTTAATTTTGTCTACCAATTTATGCTCATCTCAGAATTTTTGTATTCGTTTTGCCGCTCAGAGGGCTACTTGTGATGTTAAAGAGTGAAGGATAAAGACTTCGCTGTCAGTCAATTCTTTTTTAGGATGCGCCTCGCATTTACTCCCTTTCGAAAGAAGTAGTGGCTTGTTGAATGTGATGTAGGCCTGAATACTGACTTGCTAGGGCCAGCCGGAGGGCAAATCAGGGCTCTTATACTCTCAGACGAATCTGGTACCAATTAGGTCTCTGTAGGCGGGAGATGACTTGGTTGTCCTGGGCTAGTGCTGATTCGGGAATCGATCCTCGGACCTCGCGCATGATAAAGGGTCACTTACCACTACACCACCTCCGCTCCTATTCAGTGAACTATGTGACTGAACTGGAATTCTAAGAATAGCATTTGGAAACACCATCCTGATTGAAAAGGACCTTTCGACCTATTGAGGTGTGCAGCACCAATTAAATTGAGAGGGAGCGATCAGAATTCAAAGAACTAGTGCAGAAGTGGGTCCAAGGTCCTTCGAATAGAACTACTGTCTTTCATAATGGTTGCAATCACTGGAGATTCTCCCTTTCAGACTTGGGCAATCCTCTCTCGAGGGCAGGAATCCGGTGCTGCACAAGTAGTTTTTCAAACACTCTTCCTCCCCCTTCCCACCCTCCCTACCCTCCAAACCCTCCTTATCAACCCCATATACTATACTATACTTTATTCTTTATCGCACAGACACAAATAGAGTGTTTTTGATCATTTGTGCGAAGATTCTCGAGGAACCGGCAGCGGTGAATAATGTCGTCCATCTTCTAGTCATGTCTCTGGTCCTTGCTCCAGTATAACGAGCGAAGTCGTCCAGCCATCTTGTTCTGGGACGTCCGAGACCTCTTTTTCCTTGTGGTATCCAGTCAGTTGCCACTCGAGCCCAGGAGTCTTGAGGGGACCTTCTTGAGAGACGCGCAGCGTAGGACCATTTTCTTTGTAGTGCCGAAACCACCCAATCTTTCAGCGATGTCCTTCTGCGTAGGATTTTGGATGAGATTTTGTCCGAAAGCCTAGCTCCAAGTATGGCTCTTTCTAAACGTCTTTGTGCTGTTCTGAGGCACATCGCCACTTCCTTTGTCCATACCCATGTTTCGCAACCATATAACACTGTTGGTAGGATACACATATTGATAAGTTTTCGTTTCAAACTCATTTCCACTCGAGGTTGTCGAAGGAACAGTCGGTTCTTGAAGTATGAGGCACGAGCTGCTTGAATACGACTATGGATCACATCCTTAGGATTTCGCGGGAACGTTATCCTTTGACCGAGATAACTGAAATGGTCGACTCGTTCGATTTCATTTTCCTGCACGTATAAGGGACCGTCGATATCTCCTAGATCGGCTTTACTCAATCTCATCCATTTCGTCTTCATAAAATTAATAGTGAGTCCCACTTTCTCCGCAGCATCGGCCAACATTTTTGCCATTATTCCAATATCTTCACAACTATGAGCGAGAAGGACAATATCATCAGCATAAGCTAGGTACGAGAGGGTTTTGTTCCCTAGTTTCAGTCCTTTGCCCTGCCAATCTATCAGATTCAGCGCGTACTGGAGAACTAATGTGAAGAGAACTGGAGACATTGAGTCTCCTTGTCTTACACCCCGCTGCAGATTGAACTCTGCTAGTTGGTTCGCTATTCTGACGGCAGCGGTACTGTGTGCATACAGCAGTTGTATGGCCATTATCAAGTTCTCCTCCACACCAAAATACTCCAACGCTTTCCATATCATTGGAAGTTCCACGCTATCGAAGGCCTTCTTAAAATCGACGAAAACGGCACATAGCTCTATATTGAACTCGTGACATTTCTCGGTAATCATATTAATAGTGTGAATATGATCTATGGTCGAGATATTTATCAACCCCATATGTTCTGTATAAATTTCAGTTGTCACAATTTGCTCATCAGTCTCTGGTAAAGTAAATTTTATGACTGCTCATTCGCTCAGATCCTACGAGGTGTGTACGCCAGCACTTTTACTTCTTTCTATCGACTGTATGGATTTCACATTATTTAATTAGTGTATCAGTGCTGTCCCAGGCCTCATCGAGCACCTCAATCTTAACTTCTACGACAAAAAGGGCACTGGAAACTTGCAAGAACCCATCATACACTGGGGTTCCAGTGAGCAGAATAGGTGGGAAGTTGTTCGAGAAGTTATAGGAAGAGGGAAAAGAGGAACGGGGGGGGGTCGTACCAGCAGAACTTTCTGAGAGAAGGGGTTGCAAAATTTTCGCCAACGACGAGATGTGCTCTGACTCCCACTAGGCTGGTGAAGCCGCTGTAACGAAGGCATATCGAGGCAGCTTGACGAAAATTTACCAAGGCATACTATAGTGGAAAATTTCTGCAAAATACGACTTTCCACCCAAAATCTTTTCCCGTCTACGACCTCCGAGGAAACTCATCTCACGGCGAAATTTCTCCCCCTTCAGAGGTGTGTGCGATCGCTCCCTGTGTTTTCCGCAACGGATGGTAAGCCATGAATACCACGCATCGGAATTTGGGGAATACGATGGAACTAAAAGGATTTCCCTCCAATCATTCGAGTTCCTTGTATGAATTTTCGGCGCCTCTCTGTGTTTTATGCATTTCAATCGATTTATTCGTCTTCATAAGGCTTTCTCAAGAAAGTTCCGAATTTTTTAGTGCTTATTAATGTTAACTGAAGCTTACAGAACCTTTTGCAACCTCACTGATCCATCCACTTCTAACGATTAATTTCCGTATATTTGCAGCTCTTGGCAATAGTGCCGGCATGGTCTCCCGGCTGCTCATTGCACTGCTATGGCTACTACCTATTAGTATGGCAATAAATTGCTACCGCGGTGAGACCATGTTATTTGCATCTGTTTTCTTAATGCTAAAGAGCGGTCAACATGGCCCGGTATTGGAAGATCTCGCGCCAGATCTTGCGAGCGAAAGGTGGGCCAAGACTCACGGGACGCATCTGCCGCCCGACCGCATCAAATATGCACAAAATCTCTGAGATGGGGTAGGCGTGGCTGCTTACTTGAATCGAACGAGACGGCGGCCAGGGTTTCCGTGAAATATTTTCTTTTTGGGACAGTTGTAATTGTGTCTTTGTCAACACAGAGCAAGATGGCTGCTCAAGCTGAAATATCCCACGAGTACCCCATCCTAGGCCATTATCAAGTGCCACGCCTACTCCGTCTCAGGGATAAGGACTACCTGTGCTACATCAGCGCAATAAATGCAATACGGTCTGAAATTTGGCCTTTCAGGTGCTATCTACAACAGTACAGCTAAGCCAACGGAACAAATCGCGTGCCAAATGATCAACTATTGTACAAAGTACTGTTCCTCTCTTATTTTCTCCCATTGAAATTGGTTTTTCCTCTTTTTCTCCGAATGTTTCCAGAAAATCTGACGTTGTTAATTGGTCCCGATTTCAGAATCACTGCTGTTATGCCTGTTTCACTTGCCACATACGGTTGCGATCAATCAGCGGCTTTATGCAAGGTGAGGAGGTTCCTTTATTGCCCAAAAAGGTCATAGTGGTTAACTTAAGCGTATGTAAACCACCTTTTTTGAAGAAAGAAGCCCAAATTATAAACAGAAACAGCGTATTCTGAAAGTAGTCATGCTTGCCCCGCACATAGTCAAGTCAGGGAACCGACTCGTGCCCCGGGCATCTGAACTTACTATTCCTTCATGGTTGGTTCGGCACCCGTCTGTGTGGACAAAAGCACTTGTTGTACGTCGGCTGAACCCCGTCAACACTATGGTTTTTGTTCTGTTCGGCTTGGGAGGAGCATTTTGCACTTTGCTGTTTTGCTAGTTCCTGTCAAATAACACGTCTCACCTTGGTGAGACTTGTAGGCTTTTGTCAAATGAGAATGGAATTCCGCCACTGCATGGTCTCGCGGGAATTCACAGGTGCCCCCAGGAGACAATGGCAGTGATCGATGGGAACCAACGGAATGCCCTCCCAAGTCGAACAGCGCCTGATACTTAATAAAAGATAGCTGCATGTCGCATTATAATCCGTGAAGAATATCATGGAAAAATCTTGACGGGGTGAGAAGAATCCTTTGTTCTGCTCAGAACGCAGTCCATATTGATAGTGTGGGCGGAGCCTTCAGATGGGTTGCGGGAAGGTGGTAAGTGAGAGAACCAGAAGGCTTGACCGTCTCCACTAGTGTCTCCGACCATACGATGAAGTGTGCCAATAGTGAGCAAAGGAAAGATTCGATCCTGTGAATTCGCGCTAATGCAGCGCGACGCCTCTATCCACTGCGCTTCACTCCATCAGATTTTAATATTTCATACGATCTCTTTCAGATTAATGGCTGCTACGACAACCAAAATGGCGGGTTAACGTGTTGCTGTAGTACGGACCTCTGTAATGCCTCAGGCCATTATCTACTTGGATCTCTTCTCTCCGTGTTCTTGATATTATACCTCGTATTTTAAGTACTGTGACTTATTTTTCTGGTCGTGTACATATCATGTTTCGGAGCTTTCCCGGTAAGGTGAGGTATTTTGGTGCAATAGTGCGTGAGGGTTACGGTCATTCCGAAATAGCGCGGGAAACATTTGGAGCTACGAAGTTTTGCGTGATTTGATTCTGCGCTATTTTCATATTCGACTTTGCTTTGAACGTGTACAGTAAGACAAATTGATCGTGGATTCAAAAGTCTTGGGTGCACTGCACAAAAATACTCCCATCGTAGTGGTATGGCGTCCATTTATATTGTGAACACTGAACATTTGCGTTGATTCTTTCATAACGTTGTGAACAGTAAACATTTATGTGAAAGGATCAGACAATTTGGCGTTGATTTTTCCCGTCTGGGATGCGCCATGCACCCACTTCAGCACAGTCTCTCCGGCTTTGGAATGCAAGGGCAGGAGGAAGGCATGCAGGGGTCAACCAAGGCCCACATCAGTATTTTGCCCTGCTAAGGCTAGTTTGCGGCGGGGGGGGCTACCTACTTTGTTCACTGCGGATGCTGGGCGTAGGGAGTAGGGTTTGGAGCAGCGCCGTTAACTGGTAAGGACGGCAGGCTATCACTGCTGGCGGAAAACTGGCTGGCGCGGCGCCAGGGCATGGCCTGGCATCTCCTAGTTGCTGCCAGACTAATAAGACTGTAATCTGCCCGGGCCAAGAAACACGGTTTGGATGAAACAAGCCGGCTTGATCAAGTTTTCCGTGGTATAAAGCGGCCCCTCTCCGCCTCCTTGACGAACGTCGCGCATTGGAGACGTCCGAATTCTTAATTTTATACAATTTTTGCAAGTGACGAGTTGAGATCCACGATCAAAATTCGAGTGCAGCATACACATAGATAATGTGTTTAGAAATCCAGAAAAGTGACAGGGAATGAGCGACAAATGAGCTACCGGATTTTGGAAATCGGAACATTACCGGAACAGGAGAGCACCAATATTGGTCCTCCACCCATTGCTGCCTATCGACGGAGCGTAAAGAGACTAAGAAGGGCAAGAAATCAAATAATAAAAAAAAAGTGGGAATGAGGGAACAATTTCCGAGTGTAGGATTCATGTGAACTTAAAGCTTCCAAAATATTCATGGACACCGTGTGAGGCGTTAAATGACGCAAAAATGATATGTCAGCTTGATTCCAATAGTATGGGGGGGGGGGGGACAGAGATCAAACTTTCACCAAGGAGGTAGCACGTGCTAATTTTTCGCGCTTAGGCGGAAGATTTTCCGGTAGCGGTTTTCCCTTCGTTTCCGGGATCACCAACTGGTAGAATATTGTATCCAGTGTGGCCATTGCTGTGAGAACGATGTACGGCAGCGATTCCCAAATGCTCTAAATCAACATGTATCATTAGCGTTCATTCCCATGCTTCTGGCGGTTCTGTCCACATTGATCGCGTGGGCGGAGTCGGGCCTCAAATTCTGCTTCGCGTTGTCCTTCTTCTCCACTTATTCAAATTAATGTCAAAATCAGAACAAACGGCCGACTTCATTATTCCTTTCAAACCAGTGAATAAGAGGGCCAGCGTGGAAGCAGAACTAAAGGCCGACTCCGCCCATAGTCATAACCACAACCACCATAGACTGCGCCTTTAACAAACCAAACAAATATGCGTTTCTCAAGTGAGTTCCACTTACCAAAACGAAAAGCTGTGGTGCGACAATGGTCCCAAGACGGCTACAAGTTGACTTGAAGGCTAATCCAGAGTTTCGAACAACAGTAGGATAGTATTCCATAGCCGAGATAGTTTTTGTGATGAAAATCTGAACGACAGGAATTACAGTTCCTATAAAGACAATAAGCGGCGTGGGGGGAAGGTGGGGGGGGGAGTGAGGGTCTACGGGAGCATCTGGGATAGTGGCAATGTGAGCGCGGCAGAGGTGTACAGTCATTATTCCCGCAAACGACGGGCCTTGTAAAGAGTTATGGTTCGGGATGCAGCCCGTAGGTCTTTTCCACCGACCGGTGCGGGCTCAAGATGGCATTTTTGGTGGAAAAGGCCGCTCTAGATGCGCTTTAGTCCATGCTTCCTCACATGAAACCGTTGCGCCCATTTTAGCCCGTGACGTTCCCCTTTTCAAGCCGAGATATGAAAGGTACGCTCAAGCCAGAGCAAAGAAATAAAACCGGGAACCTAAAAAGTTCAGACGGGGGACAGACCAGAAGGTGAGAATAGCTGGCTCTAGTCCAACCTAGTATGGCTGTTTTATAAATGCCCTACTCCTGAAACCCCTACGACCAGGGCAGGTCGGGAAATTTAGAGAAAGTTCTCCAAAATACAACCAGACGACGAACCTCTGAGAAAAAATATTTTCCCTCAGAGTTCGGTCCTCTGGTAAGACCCTTTCCTTTCCTCACACCCATCCTGTATTCCCGCATATTGCTACCACTCTGCGGGGCTATTACACATACCCACTTTTGGAGGGATGCTGGAAGAACACATGCGAAAACGGGAAAACCGAGATTCAGTGACCGAGAACAATTTGCCCTAAGGCTAATACAACCCCCTCCAGTGACCAAATACGACCTCTGTCGCGACCACATGTCTATGCAGTAGTCACATCCAGTCCGATCGGAAGGCAAAAAGTGGCCCACACAAGTACTCCCTGTGACGGCTACGTAATTCCCCTGCCTGCTATCCGCTCCAACGCACACGTCTTTCCCTCGATTCCATAAGCAACGTTCGCCGCGCCAGCAGCTACGTACTTTGAACACTGTAGTCTGTGAACCAGGGAAATAACCAAGTGACCTTTGCGGTCTGGGCGCCACTTTGATGACGGGT